TCAATCTTCTTGTTAACATACCTAATGTATATATAATCTTCTTGTTAACATACCTAATGTATATAATCTTCTTGTTAACATACCTAATGAATATAATCTTCTTGTTAACATACCTAATGAATATAATCTTCTTGTTAACATACCTAATGAATATAATCTTCTTCTTGTTAACATACCTAATGTATATAATCTTCTTCTTGTTAACATACCTAATATATATAATCTTCTTGTTAACATACCTAATGTATATAATCTTCTTCTTGTTAACATACCTAATGTATATAATCTTCTTCTTGTTAACATACCTAATGAATATACATTAGGTATGTTAACAAGAAGATTATATACATTAGGTATGTTAACAAGAAGATTATATACACTAGGTATGTTAACAAGAAGATTATATACACTAGGTATGTTGACAAGAAGATTATATACATTAGGTATGTTAACAAGAAGAAGATTATATACACTTCTTGTTAACATACCTAATGTATATAATCTTCTTGTTAACATACCTAATGTATATATACTTCTTATTTATCTTCTAATTACTCTAATTACTTTAGGTTCTGAATAATGAAAAATCAAAACTTACAGTAACAAAATTAATAATAAAGACTGGCTTTAAACTTCTTAATTAAGTTTATAACTTATTATTTAATTTCTGTAGTATTAATAAGCTGTAACTTACTGTCTCTAAAAGTGCATTCTGCCAAATTCGAAAAAGCATCATGTACGTTTTATCACGAGCACCAAATGATGTAAAGAAGTGTTTTTCACTATCCGTGCACACTTGAATTGCATTTGGAATTACCCGTGCTGTTTTCTCTTTGGTCATGCTGGTGATGTCTCTACAACGAAGGAGTAGCTGAAAAACAGGGGTTTATATAAGTATGGAAATTAAATGTGAAACCGAACATAAATAACCACAAATTAATACACATATTTAAACTTATGTTTTTTCAAATCTTAAAAATATTGAATTTAACCTTTTTCTTGTGCACGACACATATGCCTAATTTAGAAACTTAATTTTACAGTTTCATTTTAAAACAAGTTCCTACAAAACTCTATTATTTTTCAACATTTACTAGTTATGTGTACACCTGGAGGCACGAGAATGCCAGTATAAACAGGTTACCTGTATTTTGAAGTAAAGTTACAGGTAAATAAAAGAAAATAAATTACAAACTCAACTTGCATTATTAACCTTAGAATTACCTATGGGGCCCATTGGTAATTTTAGGGTTAATAATTCAGACTGAGGATTTTTACACATATTCTTCTTAAGCACAAAATACCTTGTGAGTCCGCGACTTTGATGGTTACAGGACCCCTTATAACAAATGAGTCACACAAAGTATTAAAGCCTCTAACCTCAACTATAAACAATATTTTAAATGTCTGTTTAATTCTGGTTTTAGTAAGATTATTTAAATCTCTTCTGTGATGTTTGTCTGCTGCTATTTATGAACATACCTATTCAATGCATGTGGAAGACACAGGGAGGGTCCAGCACATACAAGTGGACACACATGCAGACTTTTGTTAAATAATGGTTTAGGGCTAGATCAAGCTACATCTATGATTATAGTTAAACACAGGAGTTATTGTAAGAACTTACTAAACATACAAACTTATTTCTAAGGTCTATAACTATTCAAATTACTTTTCCTAGTATTCTTAAATAATATATTTTTCATACCATTCATTCTTAATACAGATTAATGGAAACACACAAATTAACCACTTAGAAATAGCTTTGATAATGTTTTCAATGATGAAGCCTGTAGTTGAATATATTAAGTATTTTATCTGATAAAAAGATAGTCGAAGATTTCTGAATTTCAACTGAAGTAGTTTGGCTTGAATTTACTAGCTAGTTAACACACACATTGACTAAATACATTTTGTCTGTTATGAGTCTACTGCTTAAAGGTAATTATAAAAACAAAAACTTATTATCCAAAAACAAAAAGTATTTCACCAATGATGAAAGAAATTATTTAGAATAAATTATGCTTACAAAGGTTTCCCATCTGAATATGTTGGCATAGAAACAAAAGTAATTTTGTGACACATACAATCTTCCATGGACTAGAATATCTCTTTGTAAGGCACAGGAATAATCTGTAAAAAAACAAAACAGTTACTGCATAATCATAAGATACCTATTACATTGAATGATGTTTCTTTTTATAAATTATAACTTTACTCTAGTTAAGCTAATTTAAAGTTTATATTTCACTGATTTAATCCTAAGTAACGGTACATCAGTGTGTGATGTAGATATTTCCTGATTTCTTTTAACAACATATAATACAACTATTAAAGATTAAAAAAAGTAACTAAAACTGTTACAAAATAAATAAATTACAGTGAACTCCACATGAAACTGAGTCTGAACTTTCACTTGAAGTTCGTTTAAATTTGATTATGAAAAAAGTATTAAAATGCCAGAATGAGTATTTCTGTACTATTTTTGTTCTTCACCAGATTAAAAAACAAATAATAATAATAATAACAACAGAGTTTTTAATAAGGAGTGTAAATTCTCTTAAGCTCAACATAACTAGTTTTAAAATTTTCCTTAATTAATCCTACTTGCAAGTCTTTGATTTTATTCAATCAAAACTAGCAAAAACAATATGAGAAAAAATTATCAACCTCTTCAGGAAATTATTTTTTCCATAAATTAACTGCATTTTAAAGCTTATTCTTCTTTCAGCATATACTTTGTACTTACCAATAATAAGTCTCTCTGACTCTGGTAAATCTCTGAAAAGTCGCTTGAAGTCGTCACTTTTTGATTTGTATGTAGGGTTTAAAACCTGTCGAAGAAATTAAATTATTAAAATATTTATATATTTTAATGTCAGAACTTATAACTTCAACAGTTCTAAATGATGTCTGCAGTTTTTGAAATCAGTGACAAATGTGATTATTTTCAAATTATTATGAACAGTAACTATGTAAATACTACACTTTTTTTATGAATAACAAGATTTCTCTGATTTATAAATAACCAGATATGGTGAAATAAATTCAAGTGAATGATGAGCAATTAAACTTTAAAATTTCTCAAACATTACTTTTATCTATAGTAATTGGATGTGTTAATAAAAATAAAGATAATTATTCCCACATCTTATTATACGTACATTATACCACGAAGAAGTTTTCTTCTTTTTATCGCTTCCTTTACTGGAACGATCCGATTTTGTTGTCTCTTTACTTTGAACATCTGAGTGCTTACAAACGGCAGTCCAGTCCACAGACTTTCCAGACTCCGAAGATCGACTCACTGAATCCTGCCAATTTGTGCTATCTACTGTACTAACACCAGGTGGTACTGCTAATGGTGATAAGCTTTCAAAATTTTCAGTACCATCTGCTATCACTTTTTCAACAGAGACTTCCCGGGAATTATTGTGCACCAGCATGGAACTGTTTGACCTATATGTATCGAAAGGGTCCAAGTTTAGGGTACTTGAGTGACCTTGTGAAGTTAATCTTAAGTCATTAGGCTTATGGGTGGTCTTAGGGCTACCAGAAGGGCTCTCATCATCAACTGGAGGTGGTTGCCTAAGAAAAAAAAATCAATAATATCACGCTTGAAGTGATTCTGAGTCATGTATAGCCAAATATCAAATACACAAGAAGTAATGCCTTAACCCTTTCCAGATGGGTCACAGGTCAAAGGCCATGTCATCTCGTTTGTTGACTCGCATCCAAAATTTTATTGCACTACTATTTCTTGAATTTATGTCAATAAGTTTGGTATCAAACTGTAGATTATAATTCAAAATTTTAG